GATAGGTGTTAAGTTCATAATAGTAAAAAAAAGAAAATCTAAGAATCAAATGACAAAGAGGCTCCAAATCTTTGTGACTGAGAAGATGGTTTTGACTTGAAAGAAACAGGCAAATTAGTGGATGGGCAAGATTTTAGGGGGAAAGATGGGATAGTAGCAGAACATCTTGGTGGAAATACTTGGCAGACTTTTGATAGTGAGAGAAGGGAGATCAGGAGAAAGATCAGGGCTGGAGATAGACATACATTTGTATTTTATCTACTGGAGGTGATCAGTGGAGATAATAAGATTCCTAAGGGAGATAGTAAAGAGAAATTGAGGGGAGGGACCCAGGGGCAGAGCCTTGAGTGATACCCATGCTTAAGAAACTAGACATGCAAAACAGAGAAAGAAAAGTATAGGCCAATTTCCCTAATGAATATAGATGCAAAAATTTTAAATAAAATATTAGCAAATAGACTACAGCAACTTATCACAAGAATAATACATTATGACCAGGTAGGATTTATACCAGGAATGCAGGACTGGTTCAGTATTGGGAAAACTATCAGCATAATTGATCATATTAACAACAAGACTAACAGAAACCACACAATCATCTCAATAGATGCAGAAAAAGCTTTTGACAAAATACAACACCCATTCCTATTAAAAACACTAGAGGGGGCGGAGCCAAGATGGTGGAGTAAAAGCAATGACTTGTTTGAGCTCTCCCCCAAACCTCTCCAAATACCTGTAAAAAATGGCTCTAAACAAATTCTAGAGCAGCAGAACCCACAAAAAGACAGAATGAAACAAATTTCCAGCCCAAGACAACCTGGATGATTGATGGGAAAGATCTGTTGTGCTGGGCTGGGAAAGGAGTGCAGTTCAGCATGGGCCACACAGGCAAAGATCGGGCCTCAGCGAATTTGGAGCAGGCCTCAGGGGACTGAATCACTAGCAGCTGTAGCGGTTTCCAGACTCCTTAACCCACAAATGCCAAAGGCAACTTAGAAGGTCAGTAGGAAAAGTCTGTTGGACCTTGGTGAGAGAGGAGCGTGGTCTGGCCCCTGCCCTGGCCCCAGTCCTGGCACAGCCCTGGGGTGGTAGCTGCTTCTGGAGCTCTTGGCCCACAGACGGTGGGGGGATTGAGCATCTGATCAGAGAGGGATTGTAGGGATCTCTTTGCTGGTGCTGAGGGAGGATTCTCTTGCTTTGCCTGTGCTTGGATCTGGGTCACAGTCCTGAGTGGCAGTCCTGGGGTGAGGAGGAGCCGTGGCGTGGTAGAGCTTGTGGTGGCCGTGGAGAGGGAATCCTCCTCACGGTTCCAAGGCAGAAAAGAGTGCTTGTGGTCACTCATAGACCAGAGCACAGTCCAGGAAAGGAGTAAACACCTCTCCTTTGATCATACCACCTTGGAAGAACTGAAAATTTACAGGTCCCTAGAAGTTTCTCAGAAAACGGCTTCACAAAACCCCTGAAGCTTGGGACAGTACACCTTCCACATTGGAAGCAGAGACCTACCTTAACAAAGAGTTAACAAGTCGAGTAATTGACTGGGAACATGAGCAAACAGCATTAAAAAAAACCTCAGACTATAGGTCAAGGAGAAAATATTACAAGCAGCCAGAAAGAAACAATTCAAGTATTATGGAAACACAATCAGGATATCACAAGATTTAGCAACTTCTACATTAAGGGACCGGAGGACTTGGAATATAATATTCTGGACACTCTCCTGCTTCTCATCCCACTTCTCTGGAGGTCAAAGGAACTAGGATTAAAACCAAGAATCACCTACCTGGCAAAACTGAATGTAATTAATGAGGGGAAAAATTTTAAACTCAAAAGCTTGTGGAAGTGATTGTTGATAAATCAAAATAAATTAATAAAAAAATTTTAAAAGCAGGAGAGTGGTGTCATTCTGAGAGGAGAAAGTGTGGTCCAGAGCAGTGAGGACAGATGAAGGTCATCTGATGTAACAAGTGAGAAGTCATTGGCTACCTTGGAGAGAGGATTTCAATAGAGCCATGGGATTAGAAGCTTGATGGGATGGAAGAGTGGGTGTCCATGGTGCTGAAGTGAAATGTGGCTAGGTTGTGCAAAAGGGGAGGGTGGAATGACTGACAGGGGAAGCCTATTGGACATGTCAAGCTGGGCGTCTCCAGGACATCCCCAAGTCAGCCTAATGTTCTAGCTTGTCAGGTTTGTATCCTGTCATTTAGTGTGTTAGTAATAAGAAGAACGAGCATTTTTATAGTACTTTAAGGTGTGCAAGATACTTAAATGTATATTATCGCATTTGATCCTCACAATAAACCTGTGAGGTTGATGCCGTTGCCACCTCCATTTTACAGATGAGGAAATTGAGGTTGAGAGAGGGTAAGTGACTTGCCAAGGATCACCCACAAAACACTTGTCTTCCTTTGTCTCAATCTGCACTCTGAGTCCATATATGTAATATATATTGGAACATATATGACTCTATCTGTATTCTGAGTGTATATATATGTATATGTATGTATGATTTTTTTTGGACGTGGCCAATGAGGGGAAATTGTTTTGTATGACTATACATGTTTGTAACAAAGGTTTTATTTTTCTTTCTCATTTTGATTTGGGTTGGACAGAGGATAAAGGTTTTCATTGATTTAAACAAAAAAGGCATGCTTGGCTAAAAATGAGGTAAGCAATGTCTTTCCTCATCCTTTCCAATCCTAATGCTCCTCATTTTCCATTTTTGGTCCCTGGGTCAGAAAAAGGCCTCACTTGGCATGCCTAATTCTTTACCAAGCCATGCAGGCTCTTGGTGACCAGCAGCTCCTTTTCCAGATGTTTGCTAAGCATCTCTTGAACGAGATGACCTAGAATCTCCACCACCCCCAGCCCAGCCTAGCTCAGACCCCCCAATTGAAATCACTCTCATCAACTTTTAGTTTTCAGATGCCATTCTCTTCCTTGTTTTGAAACTGGGGAAACTGGTTGCTCTTTACCAGGCCTGCTGAGTGTGAGAAGGAGAGATCTAGGATAGAGGAGGGTTTGTTGATGATAAGAGCAGGGGAAGGGGAAGGCAGGGGAGGATATGGGGCTGGGGAGGGGCAGGGATGAGCAGCACAGGCTGAATAACAGCAGAGGGAGAGGTAGCAGGGGAAGGGGTTCCCCCATCAGCAGACAGGGACTGAATTGCAGGGCTTAAGGAATCAGGAGATAGGAATTTGCTAGCCTTGGGGCAGGAGAATTACCAAGGGTGGAGAAGCGGCTAGATTATTTTCGTCTCAAGGTTCTAAGTAGGATTCTAGTGTCAGGAAGCCTGTGCTATTATTGGTGTTTTGGGGTGCTCACCACATTGGGCAGAGGTGCTATGATGACAAAGGCCTCAGTACTTGTCACTTTTGCAGGTACCAGAAAAACTCAACCTTCCTGTGATGTTCTTTGGTGAGTGAACTTGGAATTTCTCAGTACAAAATGACTTAACGCGCCTAGTTAATTGAAGCAGGAAATGGAGGGCAGAGACTGTCTTTTGCCTTTTCTTGTATCCCCAGCACTTTGCGTAGTGCCTGATATGAAGTAGGCACTTAATAAATATTTATTGAATTGAATTAAAAGGTGCTGGAGATGCAAATACACTGAAAGTAAATGTCTGTCCCCAGGAACTTCATACTTTAACTGAGAAGTCCCTTCCATTGCTGACATTCTGGGAATTCCATATGAAGGATTTTCTGCATTACTTCCTTCAGCAGAATCTCTACTGGCTCTGATTTCTTCTGAACCCTTTTCAGAGATCTCCCAGTGGGAGAATCTTGACCCCTTCCTATTGGAAGTGGTAGGGCTTGGTAGAATGCAAAGGAAAGCCAAAGGGAGCTTACAGTGTAGTAGGGGAGGACATGAAGACAACCATATTCAGACAAAATATATAATAGGTATTTGTTTTGCCTGACCATGAGAATTTGTTATGAGTAATTGATATCGTATTTCTTTCCTTCTCAGTGGATGGGGGAAGAGGGCAGGGGAGGAAGAGAATTTAGAGCTAAAAATAAAAGTAAAAAATATTTTTCAATTGAAAAAAAAAAGACACATACAGAATCACTTGGAGATAAACTGTAGGAGAAAGGCAGTAGCATCATGGGGTATCAAAAAACGCTTCTCCCAGAAGGTGGGGTTTTAGCTGGGACTTGAAGGAAGCCAGGAGGCCCAGATGAGGAAGGAGAGAGTTCCAGGCATAGAGGACAGCCGGAGAAAATGCCCAAGAACATATAAGAAAAGGAGCCCTTCCCCAGTAGATAAATGACTAAAAGATATGAACAGGCACTTCTCAATAGAAGAAACCCAAACTATCAACAACCAAATGAAAAATACTTCCAAATTACTAATAGCAAGTGAAATACAAGTTTATAGTAACTTGGGGATTCTGCCTCATACTGTATGGGTGAGGATAACCAAAAAAAAGGAAAGCAATCATTATTGGACGGGCTTCCATAAAAGGGATGCCCCTCCCTTTAGCTAGCTAAACAGAGAACTTGACAACCTCTAAGTTCTTGGGGCCATCCTGTGGTCAGACTTCATTGTCTGGATAAAACCAGCCATCTGGGAGCGGTTACTCAGTCAGCCTCATTTCCCCCAAATGAAAACAAGGATATTGTGGTTGTCATTGAGGGGACCTAACTAAAGACCTGCATGTCTTCCTGGGTCCTTCCTGTACGAGTGAGCCTGTCCATATGGTTACTATATCATTCAATGGTCCCCTCTCGGTATAAAGCTTTGGATGCCTCAGACCCATCCCCCACAAAGAGTTGATCATTTTGAGTTGCAGACAAACAACGTTTTCTTGCACAGGGGCTGGGGTTCTCCCCTAATAGACTTCCTGTGTGCCTTTCGATGTAACTAGCGTAAAGCTTTACTTGAGAGTCCTGAGGCCCACTAGGAAACCACAGAAAGTGGAGAGCCTGATTGGGGCGGGGGGACGAAGGGCCTTCGCTTCTCTCCCTTTTAACAGATAACTAGTTCCTTTGTCACTTCCTGTCATACATTGTAAGTGGTTAGGGAGGAGTTCCTTCAGGGAAACCAGAGCAGCCCTGCTCGGGGAAGCTGGCTTGGAGTGCTTGGCTCCAATTCAAGGGGGGAGAGCCTTGGACTGTGAAATCTGAGTGGACTCCCCGTTCTGGAGTGCCCCATGGTGTGGTGTTGCCTCTTTGTTCATCGCCAGGTATGTGTAGGACTGGGCTGGGGCTGGGAAAGGGTGGTCTGCTGAGCCCCCAAAGGGTGCTGCCATGGGCCACTCAAAGGATGGGCGGTGGGGACTAAAACCTGGTTTCTTCTGGAGCTTCTGGAAATATTTACCTCTCTGCCAAGAAAGTGAATGGGCACTTTCGAAAGCATCCTTCTTTCCACATGGTCATGTTGAAAATAGAGTACAAAGCCAGACTTTTGCATCAAGGGGGAAAAAAAAGATAATTTAAGTTGAGGAAAAAGCTGACCTTCATTGAAATGATGGTTTAATTGGGAGTACTGTTCTAACCGTCAAACCCATGACAATCTTTGCTGTGAACCAAGTGCTGGTAACAAAGCACGTATGTGCTCATCACACCACACTTCCCTCCCTGAATCTGGTGTTGACCACAATGCTGTGTCAAAGAGTTCTTCCCTCCCTCTGAATTTGAACTTGACTAAAATGGCTTGGCAGAGATTAAAATCTGAGACAATGGGGGGCTTTTTTGTGGGTCTCCTTAAAATTCATCTGTTGGTTTCGTGTATGATCTTGAGATGAGTGGGTCAGAGCTTCATGTGGAGGGATTCATAAGGAACCAGAGCCTTTACCTAAACCCTTGTTTATTGATTTGGTTTTTGTAAAAAATCAATTAACAAGCATCTATTTTTTTCTCCCACCTCTCCACCCACATTGAAAAAAGAGAAGAAAAAACTCTTGTAACACATATTCATAGTCAAGCTGAGCAAATTTTCACATTGTCCATGTTGAAAAATGTGTGCCTGATCTTTTTCTTTCAGAAGGAGCTTGGGAGTTAGTAGGGAGAAAGGGCTCGGAAGGTTTGTTTTCACCTTTGCATAGGATAGAAAGGAATTCGTTCCCTTAGCTTGCATTTTTGCTTTCATTTTTTTTAACGGTTAAAACTGCAGCAAGGCCAGCCGTGTCATCCTCGAGTGTGGTTTTTATGCTTTTGTACAATAGAATTTAGAATTACATTTTCAGGGAATCATCTGGCGATGGTCCCTCTGTCATACAGGTCTACTGTTGCTGTTCTTTTCTCCCCCTCCAAGTACGGAAAAAATCCTGGAAGCGCCCTTTCCTGTGAGTTATGTGATTTCTTTTCCCACACGTCCTGTTTCAACCACTCAAAAAAGACACGCTACTGCCTTTCTGAAGGAGTCACTTTTTAGCTCTGGGGGAAAACTGAGGGACCTTTCAGAAAGAGTTAATAGAGTCAGTATGGTATAATAAATAGAGCCTTGGACTGAGAGTCAGGGAAACCTGGGTTCAATGCCAACTCGAAAGTGGTTTAGGGCAAGTCATTTGGGCAGCTAGGTGGTGCAGTGGATAGAGCACTAACCCTGGAGTCAGAGGGACTAAATTCAAATCCAGCCTCAGACACTTACTAGGTGTGTGACTCTGGGCAAGTCACATAACCTTGTTGGCCTCAGTTTCCTCATCTGTCAAATGAACTGGAGAAGGAAATGGCCAACCACTCCCAGTATCTTTGCCAAGGAAACAACAAATGGGATCACAGAGAGTCAGATGCGATTGAAACAACCCAGTAATTTAATTTCTCTTTGCTGAATTTAGTTTCTTGATCTATAAAACAAGAAGGTTGAACTCAAGGACCTCTTAAAATCTCTTTCCCTTCTGAATCTGTGATCCTGTGATTTATCACTGCTTGGTTGAATCATTAATGTGGGACTTCAAGTTAATGACTTCAGTGATTACCGCTATCTTCTGAGAGGCATCATGATGTAATCTAAGCTCCTTGAGGGCAGGGACTGTCTTTTGCCTCTTTTTGTATCTCTAGCACTTAACAGCCTGATACTTGGTGAGGGCTTAATACATGTTTATTGTATGGTGTTGTATTGTATTGTGTTGTTTTGTGTTGTGTCAAACTCAAATAGAAATGGGATCCCTATCCCTGTGGGGCACATGTTGACTTAGAAAACCACAAATTAGTATTTTCTTTGTTTTATTGTATTTTTATTTATTTTGCTAAACATTCCCCAATTACATTTTAATCTGGTTCAGCTGCATTTGACTCCTTGGGATCTAGTTGACAAGAGTCCAAGTTTTGGAGTCAAAAAGACGTGACTTCACACGGGGACTGGGAAACTTGCTAGGTGTGTGGCAGTGATCTCGCTGGGTCTGTGGCCTTATCTGTGAAATGGGGATATCAATGTCTACCTTCCATCATGCTTTGTTTTAAGGAGGACGGTCAGCATCATTTTCAATGGGCTTACTATGGCATAAAATCATCACTTTATTTTCAGTTGAATTCAACCAATATTAAATGCCTACTCTATCCTAGGCGCTATGATGGACACTGGAAGGCACAATGGATTTGGAGCCCGAGGACCTGGGTTCGAATCTCAACTCTGTTTCTTCTTCCCTGTACAGCATTGGCCAAGTTTCTTCACCTCCCTGAACCCCAAGATTCATCATCTGTAAAGTGGGCTGGTTGGCTTTCAGGCTGACTCCATGATTCTTTGAATACGATGCATGGACACTTCTTAAACCTCAGATCAAAGTTGGCTCCATCATTTGCCATATTCTTTAATTATTGTTAGGGACTGCTATTTCCCATGTCATGCCAATATATGGTTTCTACAATCTTTTTTTTTTTCTTAATAAGCAATTGGAAAAATTATCATCCATTAAAGAGGTTACTGGAAAATTTCATTTTTCTTTGACCCATTTCTCAGGGACAAGTCTTAACTTCACTTGGAAGAGGAAAGTTGAAGAATAATACAAGGATCATGGGTGGGGATAAGCTTTGGGTGAGTCCTCTCGGAGACCTGTAGCAAATTATTTGCATTTTTTTAGCCTTAGATTTCCTCCTTGGATAATAATGAAAAAAAAAAAGCTAGATAGCACGGACTGGAAGGGATGTCCTTGGACTTTACACATGAGGAATTTTTGTCTTTCTTGAATCCCTAGTTATTATCACAGTGCTTGGCACATAGTAGGCACTTAATAAATGTTTATTGTCTTGACTTGGTCTAGTCATATCCCTTAATTTTATAGAAAATTAGGGTCCAGGAAGATTAAGTGACCTTTCCCAAGGTCACAGGGGTCAGCAAGAGAGGTGGGGTTTGAACCTTGGTTCTCTGCCTCCAAAACCATAGCTCTTTCTGTTGTATCATTACTAAATCGTGAAATCTAAATACTTATTAATAGGTGGATCTTGTTCTTTATAAAGGCCCCTACTATGTGAAAGGAACTATGGTTTTGGGGATAAAGAGCCAGCCTCAGAGTCAGTGAGACCTGGTTCAAGGTTTGGCTCAGACACAGACTGGTTGTGTAGTCCATATACATACATACATACATACATACGTACATACGTACGTACATATATATACACATATTTTTTTTCCTAAGATGCATCCACACATCATATTCATAGAATCATGAGGTCAAATTTAAAGTCAGCCAGCCCCCTTTACAGATGAGCAGTCTGAGGCCCAGAAAGGCCAGCATCATACATATGTGTGTGTACATAGATATATATATGCACACATATATACAGATAGGGAATGATAGTAGTGAAGGAGGAACCCAGAAAAATTATTCAAGGAAACATGGAGGAAGAGAAACCATTGTTCTGGTTTTCAGCCTTAATTTAGTGGCAGACAGTAGTTATTTTTAGAAATAGCTTGGGGAAATGGGGTGAGAAAGGGGTTAGACAAAGGAAACCCACTTAAAGCAGACTGGCTATTTTTCATTTCAAAGGAAAAGTGACAATGGCTTTGCTCTCTGTAGACCTTCTCCCACCTTGATGTTCTAAAGTCAGACTTGTACGCCAGTCTGTATTCACTCTATGGACTGGTCAGTAGTGGGGACCAAGGCAGTGAAATGTCAAAGGGGCTGTAGCAATCAGCTGGAGCAATCAGGATGAGGGAAGTTGGGACCTTAACCAGAAACTCAGAAATGTGTTGCCCAGTAGTGGAAAGAATCCTCAGGAGCAGCTGTGGTCAAAGGATGCAGAAGTTTGTGTCCAAGAGTCTTCAAGACCTCCTAGTGGGTGGTTCCCCAGTTTTCCTTTAATAGGCAGCATTGATCTATGAGTTTTGATTTTCCCCCCAGTTCTATTCTCATCTCTTCTTCCAAGCTTGATGTTTCTTTATTATCCCATATAGTTTGTTGTAGAGGAAAAAACTCTCAACTGGGACTTCAAACCAGCTCTGTCACCTCCTACATGGGTCCCTTGGGTTCTTTTTTTTTTTTTTTTAACTATTTATTTATTTATTTATTTTTAGTTTTCAATATTCACTTCCGTAAGATTTTGAGTTTTAAATTTTCTCTCCCTCTCCCCGCCCAAGACGGTGTGAAATCTGATATAGGCTCTACTTATGCATTCGTATTAAGCGTAGTTTCCCATTAGTCATGATGTAAAGAAGAATTAGAACTGATGGGAGGAACCACAAGAAAGAAGAAACAAAACAACAAAAGAAAAGGAGAGCAAATCGCATGCTTCTATCTGCATTCAGACTCCATGGTTCTTTCTCTGGATGTGGATAGCATTTTCCATTGTGAGTCTTGGAGTTGTCTTAGATCCGTGCGTTGCTGAGAAGAGCCAAGTCTATCAACGTTAGTCATCGCACAGTGTGCCTGTTACTGTGTACAATATTCTCCTGGTTCTGCTCACTTCACTCAGCATTGGTTCATATAAATCTTTCCAGGTTTTTCTGAAGTCAGCCTGCTCATCATTTCTCGTAGCACAATAATATTCCATTACATTCATATACCACAACTTGTTCAGCCATTCCACAATCGATGGGTATCCCCTCAATTTCTAATTCTTTGCCACCACAAAAAGAGCTGCTATCAGTATTTTTGGACATTTGTGTCCTTTTCCTGTATTTATGGTCTCTTTGGGATACAGACCTAGAAATGGTATTGCTGGCTCAAAGGGTGTGCACAATTTTATGGTCCTAATGGTTGGATCAGTTCACAACTCCACCAACAATACATTAGTGTTCCAATTTTCC